AAGTCCTACAAACAATCAATGACATGTCACCAATGGGAAGGACTGTGTGAAGACTTGGCTAAAGACAGTGAGGGTGGGGAATGATAGGCAGTGGAGGACACCAGGGACCTTGGGGCAATAGCAGCAACCCAGTTCTAGGCACACTGTCTTGGAGCAGAGGGCTATCCCCTATTGTACCTCCCAACCCTGACAAAAGTAAGGTTAGGTCAAGAACTTCTGGCACCAAGTTTTGCTGCAGTCATGAAGCATTTATTGAGCATGTTGTCTGAGCAAAGGCTTGAGTGGTGTGGAAGTAAACAAAGGAGGAATCAAAAGGCAAACCCTGCCCACAGAGAACGGAAGAAAAGCAATGTTGGGTTACAGAGACCAGGCCCACAAAGCAGAGATGGTTAGGTGTTTATGTCAGTGCTTCTTTCAGGGCTGGTGCCATCCTTTAATTCCTCCAGAGGAGAGGCATCTCAACCCAGGCATACCTGTATGGTGCTACCCAGTGGTTCCCTAGCCTCGCAGCAGCTAGAATCTCACAATAAAGTGAGCGTATCTCCAGGCAGAAGGCCCAAGCAGAGGGGTAAAATGACCCAACTGCTACCTGGGGGGCTGCTGGGAGATAGAATGGCGTGGGTAAGGGCATCCTTGAAAGCAAAGGGAAGACGAAAGAAAGGAATGGCTCTAATGGGGTTGTGGTGTTTGTGAAACTTTACTGACGCATCCAAAGCCACAGGTTGGCTATGCAGACTGAGACCAGCAAACTAAAGAGCACAGCCTCCTTATGGCGCCACGTGGCATCCTGGTCCTCAAGGGCACGCAGCCGCCCAGAAATCACTTGCATCTGTGGAAGGACCAAACACAGGACTTGTGAGCAGGAATCACTCTTATGAGAAAGGCAAGACATAAGGGTAGGGGGAAAATATGACCAAAACCAAAATGAATCTTTGTTCCCCCTTCCACATCCTTTTCTCTTCCCCAATTCCTGTCCAGCATCTCCAGCATAAAGGAAAGTCAAGGGTGAACATCAACATGAGGTACTCAAGGCATGAGGCCTGAGAAGAACAGAAAGGAGAGCCCAACCTCACTTCATTTGCTACAGGATATGATTTGGACAAAGGCTATGAAAACTCAGGGGTGGCTTTGTTCACAACTGCCAAAATCACCCACTCCAAAGCACTATGATGCTTCCTCCAACTATACAACAGATGCTTACCTGCCTTCTCATGACTTCCATCTCCAGCCCATTGAGAATTTCCAGGCCAATCTCTGCCACTAAATCTGCCTCCAGACTGTTGGAAGGAAAGGTTACATGGCTCAGAGGTGTTGGTGGCCATAGAAAAGACACAGAGCAATAAGGTATGCCTGAAGGCTTTTTGGATAAAGATCCCAGTCCTTCCCTTGTGTAGTAAAGAAGCCGGAGGCTTTGCCAAAGCATACATAGATCCCAAATGGCCAGGAGGCAATAGTATCCCAATACTTCAAGTATATACATCTGCTTCTCGACTCGGATGCTCACTAGTCCCTATGGCCCTACCCTCTGCTTGTTCCTCCCCCAGTAGCTAGGAACAAGAAAATTGAAC